CATTTGTAAAAAATAACAGACTGAAAAAAATTTTCTTATATTAGGCAAATAACAAGTATACAATCTACCTAATTTTGAATTCTAATTTCAAGATTCAAAGATGTCAACAATTCCGTGTATAATTTATTACTTACGAATTAATTATTATTATACTTAAAATATATAAGCCACACTTATAACACACTGGTGTACACAATTACATTCATATGCAATTTAAAATAAAAACATGTTTATGCACGAGCAGAAACAAAAATATAATAAAATTATATATTAAAATGTAATTTTTTAATTATATTAAATAAATCGCACTTGACGAACACAATTACATCTTTATTTGTTCTTTTTTTCCGCGTGATTAGTATAATTATACTGATTAAACAGGATAAAAAGTAGCCTCTTGTATGTTCTACCCTATCCCAAATAATATATGTATACTAAATTTTATAACAATTGGTTGTTACAAAATTTAACGCCAAGAGGTAACAAACAAACAAAATCTAACATTTATAATATTAGCTAAGATGCATAGTTATAGTCAGTTCATAAAGTTATATCAATGGTGTGATGATATTTCAATTAATAATTATGTTAAAAATTTTCTTTGCTTTAATTATCATTGATTATTACAAAAATAAATAATAAATACAAAATTAATTAACATTGTTCTTCATAGTATCTTAATATAGGTATAACCTCTACAATTCATTATTTAAATACAAAACTTTCTATATATTGATTTTAACATAAATAAATTCTCAAATTATAGACAGGTAATTATTACTGTGTAGCTATAATAATGAAATTAATGTTAAAATTAAATAAAACCTCCCACGTATTTCCACGAATATGACAAGGAGTATTAAAAATACTGCTAATTAAGTCGCCATATTGGAAAGAGAGTAAAGCGTGATCAGATCAAACTTATAACAATTTGTTACTTTAAGTAATTTATAAAATGAAGATACTCAATTTGTCTATATTTTTTTATGATTGTTTCGCGATCACATCGCCAAATCAGAACCTATTTTGATAATTCGAGTATAAATACTTATTTAATAAGTACATATGGATTTATTGATTTAATTCTAAAGTGTTCTTATTGATTTCATTATATTTATAAGTACTCTCGTCTCGCTCCCACACTACTTTACTCGTGATTAAAATAAATTTTTCGTTGATACAAAGTCTTGAGTGTTCATCCATGCGAGTATGCATGGATGAATATATACAGTCAATAAACTTGTAAAATAAAATTTTACCATTTAATAAGTATCTTTTCGTAAGATTTGAAGCAAGAAAGTTCGAAACGAAAGTCATTTACGAACAAAATACTCCAAAAACTTTTTATGTAAATAAGTGAAGGGAAAGGCGTCTTTCTCACAATTTGCAATACAATGGCTGGATATTAGAGATGATTTTTCCTTCTTCGCATAGTAAGCACGATTTTGGCCCCATAAAAATATATTATTCAATCGCCTATTTCACTGGATTTCCACTCGAAATCTAAAATGAAGGGATAAAATGTATGAGGGATCAGTATATATATAAAAGGATGAAGCTCGCATTAGTAACGCGGGTTGTTGTTTAGCGTGAGTCAATGGCCGGGAAAAATTGGCAATCGTGGGATGATTTGAATTGAAATTTACATCGTTTTATTGTGGATATTATTTTTATAGACACTTAAATACAGAATACGATATAATAGTATTAACATATTTATAAATATATATATAAGTAATTGCTAAAGTACAACATTAGAACAAAACTGGCAACAACGATCGTTTGATGAAGATAAAGTCGAACTAACGAAAATTGAGTCCAAGAAAATGTAGTGTCACAGGTCACTAAGCTTACACAGACGCTCGTCCGACTGACTACAAAGGTGTGTGAGTTCACACATCAGCCGGAAAGCGTCAAAATACGGTTCAGAAAATCAATTCCGGACAGGCGATTGGTACATTTAAACATGTCCATTATTTAGACAGCAATGGGCCCTACGTACCGAAAGGTTCGTATTGCAAGGTACCGGGCCAAAGATTCGAAGAAAACATCGTAAGTTCAAACTGCGTTGAACGAATATCCGCGCAGGTAAAATAGTAAATATTTTATTTAAATTAAACAGTTAGGGAGGGATGTTTGGATTTGTTCTTTATATGCCACTATATTTTGATGCGTAATGCAAATAAAGGGTACGGATCCCTTTCTTTCTTGGTCAGTTTAATATGAACAACTCTTACGTTGTAACTTTGAATAGAGGTATATAATATTAGGAGCAACTCAGCCCAGCTTCGTATGTTTATTTTTTAAATAAAATACAGGTCATGTTACTCAGTGATAATGTAATTTACAGGTAAAAGAATTTTTAAAGTCAGTTAAATATTTTTTATATTTATTCATTACAAACAAGAAATTCAATCATCCTTCTTTAAAATATTAGTTGATATCAATGATAGTAATTATAAAAATAATTTTATATTTATTTTTAGTTACCTGATAGTAAAACAGAAGTTTTTTTAATATATAATATCCCAAGGGGCTCCTTAATAGGAATAGAAAACTGACAGAGATTGATACTGTGTGTCAACGGTCATAGGTACAAGTTATTTGTAGTATTGACCTTAATGTTTCATTAAAAAGGTAAAACCAAACTCCGTAAAAGTTATACTGAAAAACTTTTTTAATCAAAGCTGATGAATGTGCCTAACACCGCTATATTTTTAATCTCGGACAAAACGGGAATGTTATTAGTTCAGTTCAGTTGTATTTTGTATTTAAGTTTCTGTATGAATATGTTTCCATTTGGCTGCTAGAATTCGATGAATAAAATTTGATGAATAATTTTTACTTGACATTTATAATCAAAGTTTATCGTATAATTAAATCTAATTGCTTCATATGTAGAGCGGTAAAATCATAAAAAAATGACAGTTGAAAAATGAGTTGAATTAAGTTTAATAAAAATTATGTTTAATCTTCTTCTTACGATTCTAAATCCAAAACAATTATGATTAATGTGTTTATAACACATAATTTAACGAATTATGAGTGGGTATACAAACAGTTACCGCCGAACCGTTTGTAAGTAACATAAATAGAATACAAAAAAATTGCGTATATTTTTTTTACGTTTATTTATTACTAGGTTTTATTCCTGACTTTGTCTGCAATAAAAAGTATTCTTCATTCTATATAGAATATGTATACTATACTTAATAATGATTTTTTTATTAAGTTTTTATTGAGATATTAAGGTACCAAGAGGTAATAAACACACAAATAAAAAAAAGAAAACAATTATTTTTCCGCATTTATAGTATATATATTAGTACAGACTAGTGCATTTAATATATAACAAAAAGTTTAATAAAAATATGTTAAGCTAGCTTTTACCCACGACTTTATCCACATGAACAGATTATCTTCATTAATTATATTATTATTCATCGCATATTGGATAACTGATTAAGCCGTTAAGGCGCTAAGAGGTAACTAATAAACTCACTTTCACATTATTATATATTAGTAAATATGTATATCATCATCATCATTATCATTGCCTTCATCCTCATCATATCAGCCATTTACTGTCCACTGCTGAATACAGCCCTCCCTCTTGGGGGGTTTTGGACAGAGATGTGGCTGCTCATCCCTCAACTAAGTTCCCCTAATTAAACGGAATTTTTTACACTGCATCTATTACATAAGAATAAATTTATAAATTCAATATGATAAAATACATTTACCGGTGTAAATGAAAAAGAGCAATTTTCATACCTACTTCTTGCCGTCTTATTATTATTATTATATCAAGGAAAACCTTGAATTTATTGCTTCCAATAGACCACCGTCGTTAACCATTTATTTTTCATATGACAGTCGATTGATCAAACCATAATGAATGGATGAAATCTAAATTGATTGATGGTTTTGCGATTACACGACGAGATAAGGTATAACAAAAGTAGACTCTGCCGGCTCACAAACATGTTCGTATGTTGAGTAAGTGCAAGGTAAGATTCATGTCGGGACTATCATTATTAAAAAGTTACAATTTTAGTAAATAATAGTATATTTTTTTCTTTTCTATTGTCTCTTCGTATTTGTCTTTTTTTTTTTAGGAATTAAAATAATAATTGTTGCTGGCAACTGGACAAGCCGATATTATACACTTTTTGATATGTTTTTTACACTTTCGCACTGTACGTTTTATAAAACAGGGTTGTTTTACGTGACGAACATTGATATTTATTATTCACTAATCACAATAATGTATTTTAGTCATCGTATTTTATTGTATTGTAAAATCTTTGTTGTACATAATTCATATGGAATACATCAAAAGATTTAATATATCGTCATATAAGTCCTTAACTGTCCATTGCTGAACATAAGCCTCCTCCTTAGGGGGTTTTGCTAGTAGCTGCCACATTTAGCAGGCGGGTTGGCAACAGCAGTTAGGCTTTACAGACGTTTTAAGAGTGACGCTGCTGCCCCTCCTTAGTCGCTTCTTGACTTGTCACCTACGGGAATGAATAGGGTGAATAGGCTATTATATGCCGGGACCACACGGCCAAGTGTATTTTAATACTTTAAATTATTCATTAGTAAGATCATGCAAAAAGTCAAATATGCAAATACCGAAATAACTTCATAATTATTTATTTATAGGTAAATACGGAATTCAAAATACAAACTTTAATTAACATCAGAAAAACTTTCTGCAAAAAAACTCAATGGTTCATATGATTTAATTGCTTTGAAATTAAAAACTGTGTATAATTTTTAATAACGAATGTAAAAGTTTTTTTTTTAATATACAATTTTCTAAAATTAATGATAATCAGATTTTGAACAATAAAATTATTTCTCAGTATATGTATGTTTTATATAAGTTTTTACCAGTCTGACCATAAATGCATAAATTTAGCTATAAATCTAACTTCCCAATGCAACGTATCAAATATTGAGCAATATATTTCAAAAGACGATTTCATTTACAGACGGGCGATCCTCTCCAATCCGGATGTCATCGGGCACACTCCTATAGAAGCGTTATTTGAAAACGATTTCTGGGGAACACCGCTCGCAGATCCTGGTTCTCACGGCTCTTACCGACCACTATGCGTTGCCACATATCGACTTAATTATGCTTTTACTGGATTTAAGCCATGGAGTTACCATTTTTTCAATATAATACTACATTGCATTGCAACTGCACTAGTCGTAACAGTAGCACGGCGCTTACTGCCTTCTTACTGCATACGAGTGGGTACAGCCGTTGCTGGATTAACGTTCGCTGCCCACCCTATACACACGGAAGCCGTAGCTGGTATTGTGGGCCGGGCAGATCTAGCTGCCTGCAACTTATTTCTCCTAAGCTTTCTGCTATATAGCGAACATATTCGTCTCCGAGAAGATCGATACCGGGGACAATGCCGACATATTTCTAATAATAATGTCAATCACCAACAGATATCGACAAGTGATCAATTTAGGCTAAGCTGTCATGGCTTGGTACAGCACATTATGATGAACTTTCGTAGATTGCTGAAAGCTGGAAAAGCTGGACCATTGAAGGTGTTAAATGCTTGCGATATTAAAACTGAAACAGTGAGACTAAAGTGTCAAAATAGTGATAGTGTCAGTGAAGATACCTGTGAAATTTTTCAGTGGCTCACATTAGCAGGAACATTGTTGTTCGCCACTGCAGGCACTCTTTGTAAAGAACCTGCTATAATGGTTCTGCCCCTTTGCATATTCTATGACTTTCTTAAAGGCCCTCGACAAGAAGAATCTTATTCCAAGGTAAGATACACTATTTTTACTTGCTCTTTTCGTTTTATAAAAGAGTCTAGTATTTTTATTGTATAAAGTCAAGTATCATAAACTTACGAGAGATTTCGAGACCGAAGGGTTTTTGCCTTTAACTTTGAAGGCGAACTGCTGAAGAATGATTTATAACTTTATGATATCTAATATTATTATAATGTTCCTTTCTTATTGTATATACTTTGTGACTAAATGCCATGAATAGCCTTTGCAAAGTTTTATTTCGTCCATGAAAGCATTCGATAGAATAAAAGTATAAACAATCCCTGACTCTAAGAAAAGAACATGCTGCAATCTGTCTTCTAAAACTAAAGTCAGTACTAATCCAATTGTTATCCCTTGAACGTCTTGATTGTTTCGAAGTCGTGGCCAGAAAGTTTGATCAGATGACTTGTAGGGAAACTTTACAGAAACTGTAATTAGTAATTGGTAAACGGTAGACCACTAAATGTTTTATTAACCTTATATATTATAGAAAGAATAAATATGTAATTAATTTATTACATAAATATAATTTATGTCTAGAAAAAAATATATCCATAGAAAAAAAAATATTTATCTGGCATCGGCTTACACCTACATATATCATTAAGGAACCTGTAAATTTGCTTCACTTATAGAGTTATTCCACTTTCCCAGTGTTTAAGATATCCAGGTATAAAGAAATATCTGTCTCATTAACAGAAAGTTATATTTATATTAATAGAGGTTAGAGTACAAATTATTTCAGTTATGATTATTTTGGCATATTAAATTCGACACAGACTTTATCGCATGTCTTCCCACTTTCATAAACGGATATTAATTTTAGTTTTTTACGTACTGATAACGATTTAAACATTCGTTTCGGCATTTTTCAAACAAAAATCTGTATGATAGTAAAGCAAAACTAAAACTGAAGGTCATTTACATTCAAAATTAGTTAAGTGCGGAATTTGCAAGTAGAATAAAAATAAGTAAGTAACAAATTTAAATGCAAAGTAGCCCAAGTGCGGAGAGATAATAAGTTGATGTTGTCTCAGTTACAGAGGTAAATGCATATAAAATTCACTCACTATCTCAGTTTTAGAGGGAACTATGACTATAAAACCGAAAAAACTAATCCCAAATATAGAGGTTTGCTTCATCCCACTAACAGAGTTGGACAATTGATTTGCCAAAGTGTTGGGATCTGAGCATTAATTCCAGCCATGGAGGTTTCTTACTTGTTCAGGTCCCACTTAACCAAGTTTCATTGTATTTTTTTCTATACACACATAGACTAATTTTATTACCATATAATAGCGCAAAGCTAACTACAGAATTCTCACAAAATATATATTTTTTTTAACATAAAGGCATTCTCTGTATTCTCATCGGTGAGTTTAATATGAAATATTTTTATTAGTTCAAGGTGTACAAATTCATCTACTTGTTCTAGTAACTCACAATCTAGCATAACCCCTCACAATGGTAATGCTAAATTAAAAAAAATTGAAATCGTTCGATTCTTAATCCATACTCTTTGCACAGAATCAAAATATTTTGAATAGTATGTTAAATAGTAACGTTAATAAAACATAAAATAAAATGAGGAGAGCACTCTCACATAAAATTTCGTTACCACACGCCTAAAGTGGTCGTTTATAGCGAGCTAATTAAATCGAATTCTCGTATGCGGACAGACTGTGTAGACATATTATGGACTCGGTTTCCACTTAACGTTTATTTGATTTTATATTGCAAAATAGAAAGAGCTAGTGTTAGTTTACACGTAATTAGTCCGGTGAATACTTAAGTTTTTCATATTAAATTTTGTGGTATTTGTGCATACATATTGACTTGTTCTGATTAAGCTTTTAAAACACGACCTAAACTAGAGGCTACAAATTATGATTCAATTCCTTATATCACGTAAGTTAGTTAAAAACTAAAAGGATTTTTTGAAATTCCGATGGTAAAATAGATATTTAATCCTCTATAGTCGAAGTTCCTAGTCCTTTGTGGCCGTGTGGTCCCAGCATAGATAGGCTACCCCTTCCTTTCCCGTGAGTGTCGTAAGAGGCGACTGAGAGAAGGCGAGAGATGGGCAACAGCGTCTCTGCCAAGCACCTGCACCTGTCAAGCGTAGCAACTACTGGACAAAGCCCCCCAAAGGGCAGACTTATGTTCGACAGTGGACAGTTAAAGGCTAATATGAGGCGAATGAATAATGAATAGTTTGTTATAATCCCATACGTATATATTCATCTTGGTATTTAGGTATTAATTCTAAATGAATACAAAAGAAAATATTACTAATTAATAAATGTCATAATCTAATATCTTTATGTAATTGTAAAATTGTAACATGGGCTATTTGAATTAACAAGCTCCGGTAATTAAATGATGAAGTTCATTACTCAATCACGCTTAAAGGAATACAAATTGAAAAGAAATGGGATACAATTACGTGATACCTTTGTCGAAGTTCCATTTATACTTCTAATAAATAGATGTTCTGGGCCTATTCGTTAAACTGCAAATGAACCGTCCGTCAGCAGAAAGCAAATTAGTGAGTTCAAGACAGAGCAATTATAGAGTCTCATGATGAAAACGGTGTGGCAACCAAAGTGATTAACGTTTGACGCTTTACAAAGCTACGGCAGGATAGGCTGGGGAGGAAGTTACGTCTAAGTGAAGTTTCCGATGAAGTTACTAGAAATTTTAGATAGTATTATGAAGTAAAAACTAAAAACTTTCTGAAAATATTTTATTTATGTGTTGATTATATAAAATCGAAAACTCCTATCTATAATCTTTAGTATGTATGTATATATGTGTATATATATATATATATATATATATATATATATATATATATATATATATATATATAAAATATAAAATCGTCCTGAACGAATAAGCATTATAAATAAAAAAGCTAAGTGAAGTTGCTTTTATCTTTTAAGACCTATACACGCATACAAACATTTTATACTTACACTACGATGAGTAACATCCAGGATAAAACACATAAATAATAACTGGAAAAATCTAGCTTATCGTGACATAGTTGTGGATTTCATCTCACACAATGAGCAATCCCATAGTATTTTCCCTACAGTAACATTTTATTACCATCGCCTTCGCAAGTTTATGTGATCTCATGCAATAAAGTGATAAAACAGTTAGCTCGCACAACGTTACGAAACTGCCACAGATATATCGACGCGAACAATAAAACTGCCATTAAAAGCGTAAACTTGCCGAATGTTTTGTTTTCTCTTTTTCATAATACCATAACTCACACACAAGCCCTGGCGTTATGGATATGGTAAAATGTTTTACAAATCCAAGGCTAATGTTTAAAATATCTCCATCAATACAAAATTACTGAAATAAAAATTAATTCCCAATTTGTCCAGTATAATTTGTCGCTTACTGTATTGTTTTACCACGATTATACCCTTATCGTTTATGCAAATTAGCATTTAAATTAGATTTTACAGTCTACGCACTTATAATGGAAGGAATAATAAGCTTCTTATTGTTATTGAAAGAGAGGTCACATTAGAATAGCAAATAAATCATTCATTAAAAAGTAATTAGTGAATATTTGGATGAGAATGTATTTTATGTTGTCGTAGGTAATACGGTTATTTCTATGTTAATACAGTGGATATTTTATACGATTTATTTCGAAATTTTTAATCCTTTTATCAATAAATCCTGCCAGTTACTTTGATTTCATTACATTTATCTGTGTATTTTTTCCAAATATATAAAAGGGTAATGACGCGTAAGATACAACATATAAGAAAATTTAATACTATTTTGGCACAGATTGCTTCGGGAAAAACAAATCATTTAACTTTTCATGACATAATGCAGGGTTTGTTGTTTTTCATATATTTAACTCAAGATTTGAGTTAAATATATGAAAAATAACGTAAAAAATATCAGCCTCGAGGAAAAATCTAAAAATAAGTACTAACTACCATCAATGAACCAAAGAATTTAAATAAAATTCTAACCAGCTAATTTCTGATATAAAGTACTTTTAAATAATGTGTAGACGAAGGCTTCCTCTATTTTTAATAATATTTTATTCCGTAATAAACTTCCTAGTGACTATTTTTACTACTTTAATAAAAGTACTGGCTATACCCATGACTTTTTCTGTGTAACTAAAATATACCAGACCAGACATATATAATAGACCAGAATAAAATTTAGTTTATGTACTTTTCTATGCTAAACACACTTTTACAATATTACATTTATAATATTAGTAAGGAGGGAGACCTTACCACAGGGAGACTGTACAAAAGTCGTTTGCTTCCACCTCTGTCTTATTCGTGTCTCTATCGTGAAGCATTTATGCTTGTATGACTGTGTTTCGGTTTGAAGGGTAGGATATAGCAGTGAGTTTACAGGGTACAAAGAAATAGCACGTGAGTCCTCAGGAATGGAACGCAACGCATCGGAAGTATCATGGGCGTAACGGTATACTCTGTTATGTCCATCGTATTGCTCATGTCTATAGGCGACCGTTACCACTTTCCATCAGATAGGTCTTCAGCTTGTTTGCCATACTAAGTTGCATATAAAAGTGCAAAATACAAAGTAACACATACACAAACACAGAAATATAAACACGCACGCACGCACGCACGCACATACGCACGCACGCACGCACATACGCATGCACACGCACACATACACACACACGCACACACATATTTAATACTGTTAATTTAATAAACATTAATGTTTATAATACAATTAAATCGTATATTTTGCTGTACACTAAATGTACACATTGGACAAAATCGAAGGTCGATCTTACAAAATGTAACTTAACCTTTCTCACGGTACCTTACACCCCTTTGAAAACATTTTTATGAATGAGCTAACTGTTCCCCTGGCTTAGCTCGCGTAAATTTGGATTAACTGAAAGAATTTCGTACATTTATCGTCCGCTCTCTAAGCGACTTCTGAAAGGAGGAGATTTT